TCCACAACCTCCACGGGGCCCTGCCAAGGGCGATGCAATTTGGCCGATGTGCCAACGGGGACCTGGGGACAATGCAGCCACGCTTTTTGACCCGCTACCCACGGGAGGCCAGCTGCCTGGTGTTTGGGCAGCCGCTCAATAGCCGCCTGCTGGCTTGCGGAATTCTCGGCAGCGGCCTGTCGCGCCTCGCGCAGCCGGTCAAGCGCGACCTTCAAAGGGGTCGGCACCGCCGACCCCTTCTTGGAGGAGCCAACGTCCATCTGGACGTGCACCGGGGGCTCCGGTTCCCTACCGTACATCAAATAAAAAGGCGAGGCATAAAAAGGCGAGGCTTGAGGGGCCAACCGATACGCCGCCAAGACCCCCGGGACGAACAGGTCCCAGTCTGACTGGGACGTGTTCACCTGGTGGCACAGCATGGATGTAAGGGTGCGGTTCAAGCGCTCTACCATCCCGTCTGACTGGGGGTGGTAGGGCAAGGTGCGGATTTTCTTGGTGCCAAGGAGGTCACACACCTCCTTGAGCAACCTAGACGAGAAATTCCGCCCCTGGTCAGTCAACAATTGTTCCGGTGCGCCCTTGTCAAACACGTACCCCTGGACGAAGGCCTCGGTGATAGAAGAGGCCGACTGATCGACCAAAGGCCATGCCATGGGCCAACGTGTGAGGTACTCAACGCCCACCAAGAGGTATTTGTGGCCCCGTTGGGATGCAGGGAATGGCCCCAAAATGTCGAGCGCCACGAGCTCATTAACGCGAGAAACCCGGATGGACTGCAGCGAGGCCCGGTCCCGGACAACTGAGGCCTTCCTCCGCGCGCAGTCGTGGCAACCCTTCAAAATCAGTGCCACGTCACCCTCAACACCCGGCCAGTAATAGTCCCGCTTAAGGGTCAATAAGGTCTTGTGGTAGCCAAGGTGCATAAGCTTCTCGTGAATGGCTCGGGTTAATTTACCACGCAGGCTAGTGGGCACAACCACACAATAGTGTTCCAATTGGGCATCCCAATGCATGAGGAGTCCGTCATGCACGGCGATCGCCGGGGCAGCCGACGAAGCTGAGCTCCGGGCCTTATGCCCAACACGGCGCCGTAGCTTCAGCAGAGAGGAATCCTCCATCTGCAAGCTGGACCATACCTCCCGGGAAAGTCCAAGGCCGAAATCCGCGGGCGCCGCCGCACCTGGAGGGGTGGCCGCCTCGGCCGACGCGACCAACTGGGCCGTGGCGTCCCCTGGGGCCTTGCAATGGCTAGAGCCCAGGGCGCAAGCACACCCGCCGCCTGCCGGCAATCGGGATAAATCGTCCGCATTTCCATGCTGTGTCCTCTTCCTGTGGATTACATCAAAGGGGTAATCCTGGAACACTTCGAGCCAGCGAAACAGCTGACCCGAGGGCTGACTAATCATCAGCGAATATTGCAGGGCCGCGTGGTCGGTTCAGACCGTAAACAGCCTACCGTACAAATATGGTCTATACAACTGAACAAAATAAACTTTGGCCAAAAGCTCCCTCCGGGTCACACAATATCGCTGTTCCGTCGAGGACAGAACGCGACTGCCATAGGCTACCACCCTCTCAACCCCGTCGACCACCTGGGCCAGGACAGCCCCAATTCCCGTGTCGCTAGCATCGGTATCGAGCAGGTAGGGTTTCGAAAAATCCGGGTACCCCA